CAGTGATGTATGTAGATAGTCAGTGATGTATGTAGATAGAGTCAGTGATGTATGTAGATAGAGTCAGTGATGTATGTAGATAGTCAGTGATGTATGTAGATAGTCAGTGATGTATGTAGATAGAGTCAGTGATGTATGTAGATAGTCAGTGATGTATGTAGATAGAGTAAGTGATGTATGTAGATAGAGTAAGTGATGTATGTAGATAGAGTCAGTGATGTATGTAGATAGAGTAAGTGATGTATGTAGATAGTCAGTGATGTATGTAGATAGAGTCAGTGATGTATGTAGATAGAGTAAGTGATGTATGTAGATAGAGTCAGTGATGTATGTAGATAGAGTCAGTGATGTATGTAGATAGAGTCAGTGATGTATGTAGATAGAGTAAGTGATGTATGTAGATAGTCAGTGATGTATGTAGATAGTCAGTGATGTATGTAGATAGAGTCAGTGATGTATGTAGATAGGTCAGTGATGTATGTAGATAGTCAGTGATGTATGTAGATAGAGTAAGTGATGTATGTAGATAGAGTAAGTGATGTATGTAGATAGAGTCAGTGATGTATGTAGATAGAGTCAGTGATGTATGTAGATAGAGTCAGTGATGTATGTAGATAGTCAGTGATGTATGTAGATAGTCAGTGATGTATGTAGATAGAGTCAGTGATGTATGTAGATAGAGTAAGTGATGTATGTAGATAGGTAAGTGATGTATGTAGATAGAGTAAGTGATGTATGTAGATAGTCAGTGATGTATGTAGATAGTCAGTGATGTATGTAGATAGAGTCAGTGATGTATGTAGATAGAGTAAGTGATGTATGTAGATAGAGTCAGTGATGTATGTAGATAGTAAGTGATGTATGTAGATAGAGTCAGTGATGTATGTAGATAGAGTAAGTGATGTATGTAGATAGAGTCAGTGATGTATGTAGATAGAGTAAGTGATGTATGTAGATAGAGTCAGTGATGTATGTAGATAGTAAGTGATGTATGTAGATAGTCAGTGATGTATGTAGATAGAGTCAGTGATGTATGTAGATAGTAAGTGATGTATGTAGATAGTCAGTGATGTATGTAGATAGAGTCAGTGATGTATGTAGATAGAGTCAGTGATGTATGTAGATAGAGTAAGTGATGTATGTAGATAGAGTCAGTGATGTATGTAGATAGTAAGTGATGTATGTAGATAGTCAGTGATGTATGTAGATAGAGTCAGTGATGTATGTAGATAGAGTAAGTGATGTATGTAGATAGGTCAGTGATGTATGTAGATAGGTCAGTGATGTATGTAGATAGAGTAAGTGATGTATGTAGATAGAGTAAGTGATGTATGTAGATAGAGTAAGTGATGTATGTAGATAGTCAGTGATGTATGTAGATAGTCAGTGATGTATGTAGATAGAGTCAGTGATGTATGTAGATAGAGTAAGTGATGTATGTAGATAGAGTAAGTGATGTATGTAGATAGTCAGTGATGTATGTAGATAGGTCAGTGATGTATGTAGATAGTCAGTGATGTATGTAGATAGGTCAGTGATGTATGTAGATAGAGTCAGTGATGTAAGTAGATAGAGTCAGTGATGTATGTAGATAGAGTAAGTGATGTATGTAGATAGTCAGTGATGTATGTAGATAGAGTCAGTGATGTATGTAGATAGAGTCAGTGATGTATGTAGATAGTCAGTGATGTATGTAGATAGAGTCAAGTGATGTATGTAGATAGGTCAGTGATGTATGTAGATAGAGTCAAGTAGATGTATGTAGATAGAGTAAGTGATGTATGTAGATAGAGTCAAGTGATGTATGTAGATAGTCAGTGATGTATGTAGATAGAGACAGTGGTGTAAGTAGATAGAGTCAGTGATGTAAGTAGATAGTCAGTGATGTAAGTAGATAGAGACAGTGGTGTAAGTAGATAGAGTCAGTGATGTAAGTAGATAGAGTAAGTGATGTATGTAGATAGAGTAAGT